TGCATGTATCAGTTGGTGTGCTGACATCCTTCCATGCCATATTGTGATATCCACAGTTGCATGTATCAGTTGGTGTGCTGACATCCTTCCAGGCCATATTGTGATATCCACAGTTGCATGTATCAGTTGGTGTGCTGACATCCTTCCATGCCATATTGTGATATCCACAGTTGCATGTATCAGTTGGTGTGCTGACATCCTTCCATGCCATATTGTGATATCCACAGCTGCATGTATCAGTAGGTGTGCTGACATCCTTCCAGGCCATATTGTGATATCCACAGCTGCATGTATCAGTTGGTGTGCTGACATCCTTCCAGGCCATATTGTGATATCCACAGTTGCATGTATCAGTTGGTGTGCTGACATCCTTCCAGGCCATATTGTGATATCCACAGCTGCATGTATCAGTTGGTGTGCTGACATCCTTCCATGCCATATTGTGATATCCACAGCTGCATGTATCAGTTGGTGTGCTGACATCCTTCCAGGCCATATTGTGATATCCACAGCTGCATGTATCAGTTGGTGTGCTGACATCCTTCCATGCCATATTGTGATATCCACAGCTGTATGTATCAGTTGGTGTGCTGACATCCTTCCATGCCATATTGTGATATCCACAGTTGCATGTATCAGTTGGTGTGCTGACATCCTTCCATGCCATATTGTGATATCCACAGTTGCATGTATCAGTTGGTGTGCTGACATCCTTCCAGGCCATATTGTGATATCCACAGCTGCATGTATCAGTTGGTGTGCTGACATCCTTCCATGCCATATTGTGATATCCACAGTTGCATGTATCAGTTGGTGTGCTGACATCCTTCCATGCCATATTGTGATATCCACAGCTGCATGTATCAGTTGGTGTGCTGACATCCTTCCAGGCCATATTGTGATATCCACAGTTGTATGTATCAGTTGGTGTGCTGACATCCTTCCATGCCATATTGTGATATCCACAGTTGCATGTATCAGTTGGTGTGCTGACATCCTTCCAGGCCATATTGTGATATCCACAGCTGCATGTATCAGTTGGTGTGCTGACATCCTTCCATGCCATATTGTGATATCCACAGCTGCATGTATCAGTTGGTGTGCTGACATCCTTCCATGCCATATTGTGATATCCACAGTTGCATGTATTAGTTGGTGTGCTGACATCCTTCCATGCCATATTGTGATATCCACAGTTGCATGTATTAGTTGGTGTGCTGACATCCTTCCATGCCATATTGTGATATCCACAGCTGCATGTATTAGTTGGTGTGCTGACATCCTTCCATGCCATATTGTGATATCCACAGTTGCATGTATCGGTGTGCTGACATCCTTCCATGCCATATTGTGATATCCACAGTTGCATGTATCAGTTGGTGTGCTGACATCCTTCCATGCCATATTGTGATATCCACAGTTGCATGTATCAGTTGGTGTGCTGACATCCTTCCATGCCATATTGTGATATCCACAGTTGCATGTATTAGTTAGTGTGCTGACATCCTTCCATGCCATATTGTGATATCCACAGCTGCATGTATTAGTTGGTGTGCTGACATCCTTCCATGCCATATTGTGATATCCACAGTTGCATGTATCAGTTGGTGTGCTGACATCCTTCCAGGCCATATTGTGATATCCACAGCTGCATGTATCAGTTGGTGTGCTGACATCCTTCCATGCCATATTGTGATATCCACAGTTGCATGTATCAGTTGGTGTGCTGACATCCTTCCATGCCATAACAAATGACTGATGTCAATCTTCTTTCTCACTGTCTTCCTTTATCTCTTTCCATAAGAGAATGTATATTAGTTTTTTCAATGTAAAAAAAAAACCCAAAACCATGTGATCACAGATGCATGCACTAGAGAGCGCTGTTCAGGATTCAGAATCCAACTAGAACGCACAGAATCAGAGATGACAATTACAGGACTAAAGCTACACAACAGTAACTAGACAATGACAGCACTAAAGCTACACAACAGTAACTAGACAATGACAGGACTAAAGCTACACAACAGTAACTAGACAACGACAGGACTAAAGCTATACAACAGTAACTAGACAATGACAGGACTAAAGCTACGTAACAGTAACTAGACAATGATAGGACTAAAGCTACACAACAGTAACTAGACAATGACAGGACTAAAGCTACGTAACAGTAACTAGACCATGAAAGGACTAAAGCTACATAACAGAAACTAGACAATGACATGACTAAAGCTACACAACAGTAACTGGACAATGACAGGACTAAAGCTACGTAACAGTAACTAGACCATGAAAGGACTAAAGCTACATAACAGAAACTAGACAATGATAGGACTAAAGCTACACAACAGTAACTGGACAATGACAGGACTAAAGCTACACAACAGTAACTGGACAATGACAGGACTAAAGCTACATAACAGAAACTAGACAATGACAGGACTAAAGCTACACAACAGTAACTGGACAATGACAGGACTAAAGCTAGACAACAGTAACTGGACAATGACATGACTAAAGCTACATAACAGTAACTGGACAATGACAGGACTAAAGCTACATAACAGTAACTAGACAATGACAGGACTAAAGCTACACAACAGTAACTGGACAATGACAGGACTAAAGCTACACAACAGTAACTAGACAATGACAGGACTAAAGCTACACAACAGTAACTGGACAATGACAGGACTAAAGCTACACAACAGTAACTGGACAATGACAGGACTAAAGCTACATAACAGTAACTGGACAATGATAGGACTAAAGCTACATAACAGTAACTAGACCATGAAAGGACTAAAGCTACATAACAGAAACTGGACAATGATAGGACTAAAGCTACACAACAGTAACTAGACCATGAAAGGACTAAAGCTACATAACAGAAACTGGACAATGATAGGACTAAAGCTACACAACAGTAACTAGACAATGATAGGACTAAAGCTACATAACAGTAACTGGACAATGACAGGACTAAAGCTATATAACAGTAACTAGACAATATGTCAAGATGATGACATCTCATGTGACCACAACAAAACCAGTAAATGTAGAAAAATAGCAAGTAGTTTTACCACTGTTGTCAATGTAGCAATGTTTTGAGAACTTTTCCTCTGTTGTCAATGAAGCAATGTTTTGAGCAATGTCCCTCTCTTGGCAATGTAACAAAGCTTTGAGTAATGTCCCTCTCCTGTCAATGTAGCCATGTTTTAAGCAATTTCCCTCTCTTGTCAATGTAGCCATGTTGTGAATGGTTTCCTTTTCTTGTCTATGAAGCCATGTGCCAATATTTTCCCTCCGTTGTCAGTGTAGCCATGTGTCAATATTTTCCCTCCACTGTCAGTGTAGCCATGTGTCAATATTTTCCCTCCACTGTCAGTGTAGCCATGTGTCAATCTTTTCCCTCCGTTGTCAGTGTAGCCATGTGTCGATATTTTTCCTCCGTTGTCAGTGTAGCCATGTGTCGATATTTTCCCTCCGTTGTCAGTGTAGCCATGTGTCGATATTTTCCCTCCGTTGTCAGTGTAGCCATGTGTCGATATTTTCCCTCCGTTGTCAGTGTAGCCATGTGTCGATATTTTCCCTCCAGTGTCAGTGTAGCCATGTGTCGATATTTTCCCTCCGTTGTCAGTGTAGCAGTGTCTTGCGGGGTTTCCTACTTTTAGCCATAAACCCATTTTCTTGTTTAATGTTGACTGCACAAGCGAGCATCATGGGCAGAGGTCTACAATAGTATGACAGGAACACTAGCAAACAACTTGGACAGCCAACTGAACCATTCCACACAAATCTGTGAACCAAGTCAGACAAGAATAATGCTGGCAACAATAACATTTCTGTGCAGGATATAACAGCTGGAACAACATAATCTGAGCCATACTTCTCCAAGCAGATTATATTTCTAGGCAATATTTCTACAAGTAGATTGTATGTCTAAGTGATATTTCTACAAACAGATTTGTTTCTAAATTATACAAGTAAATGATATGTCTTAATGATATATCTTCAAGTAGATCATATTTTTAGGCAATATTTCCACAAGAAAATTATATCTGTAAGCAATATTTCTACAAGTAGATTATATTTTAAGCAATATTCTATAAGTAGATTATATTTAAGCAATATTTCTATAAGTAGATTATATTTAAGCAATATTTCTACAAGTAGATTATATTTTAAGCAATATTTCTACAAGTAGATTATATTTTTGTTAAAGCTGTGACTGTAAAATGGATTTACATGCAAAACTGAAGTTCTTCTGGAACAATACCAAGTTCAGAAGTAGACAAAGAAACAGAACCCCCCCCCCCCCCCCCCCCAGCTTACAGACGGTGAATTTGAAGAAGAAACAGAACTTTCCCCCGAGCTTACAGGCGGTGAATTGGAAGAAGAAACAGAACTTTCCCCCAAGCTTACAGACGGTGAATTCAAAGAAGAAACAGAACTTTCCCCCGAGCTTACAGACGGTGAATTCGAAGAAGAAGAAGAAGCAGAATCCTCACCAGTGGTCAAATTTGGTTCCCTACCAGTACAGCTCTGAGGTCAACCAAGCCTCATTAGATTAAATCAGTATGAAAAACACAGGAACAAACAAAAAGGGACTGCCCCCTCCCCCCCCCCCCCAACATATTTATATAATTACATATATGTCATCAGTGTCTGCATTTGCTTATGAGAGTGACAAAAGATGGTCGGTGGGTCTTGAAGAGGAGGATTTTACTGTAATGGCCTTCAATCGGACACACCTTAACTATAAATGCTGTGAAACAAGCTTGATTTTAACAACTTTATTAACTCCAGTGCAGGAGAAAAAAGTTGAAACATTATTTTCAGCAAAGAGTAGAAGTGGTGTTAGAAAATAATGACCCAAGTGTTATTCAATTCTCTGCATTACACAAACAGTAGCTACACAAATATTGCTAAAACTTGTTAGTAACAAATCTGATCTATTTTACAATGATTCCACTGAAAGTTTCTAGATGAGTTCTCCATCACGATTCCTCATCTTTCTCTGACACCGTCATTCCACGAACAGGACCTTCCTGTCTTTGCTGGGGACAGAATAAGAAAATATCACCTGAAGAATTTGCTGTGGTTGTCTGTTGCAATAATCATCCTGCAGTACTTAGGTCCATTTTAACCAATTTCAAAACCAGAGGTGACAATGTGAATGCTGATTCATTCTGTAAAGTTCTATCGATGCTTCATGATGCAGTTAAAAGAAAACATCCAGACCTGCTGACTAGAGGAGTACTGCTCCTTCATGAAAATGCCAGACCACATACAGCTCAGTTAACTCAGGAGAAAATTAACCATCCAGGGTGGAAACTTCTGAAACATCCACCTTATAGCCCCGACTTAGCCCCTTGCAATTTCCACTTTTTGGTCCACTGAAAACCCACCTTTGTGGGAAACATTTCACGAATGACGCAGAAGTTAAATGTAAAATAAAAGTCTGGTTTAGAAAACAGAGCATGCAAGTCAATGCAGCAGATTTGGGAGGACTGATAAAATGATGGGACAAGTGCATTAATGTTGGCGGAAATTATGTTGACAAATAAAGGGACAATGTATGTGTAAAAAAAAAATTTCGGTCGGTCGGTCGGTCGGTCTGTCTGTCTGTTGATATTTGTTTGCAAGCACAGGCACCACTTTTATTCCATGCGGATGGACTAATGTCATCCCCACAACCCAACCCCGGTTACGCCCTATAGGCCAACCCCCTCCCTCCTTAGACACTCAGTGTACGCTGTTGGCGTCAAACCCGTCCCTTTTTTTGCCCCTACCTGCGCGTTGGAGGTATATAGGCTGACCGTCATTCCATTGAACGAAGTTTTTTCGCCAGGGACACTAGATGAGTATCGTTTATTCTATACATTAGAGTCCTATGTAGTCACTTCATAGTTAGAGCCTATTTGTGTATGTGTACTGTGTTGTCTTTTATGTGCTGATGAAGGCTAATCGCCACAACGTCCTTTGTTTGTTTATTGTGATCGATTTTGTAAAGCTAACATAAACTAATTGTTGTTTCTTACCAACTTTTTCTCTTCCCTATAATTTTCTACTCCTTATAAAAAGTGTAAAAATAAAGGGTTTTCAAGTTGTTATTGCCTTTAGTTTTTATTTTAGTTTTTTTTAAACAACCATTTGTGACTTACTTATTGACTTCGCCTCGTAATTATTATCATCAGTTCTCGTTGTGCCTAGTGGCACATGAGGCTTCAGAGAGAACTTTCCATGCTTTCCTGTCCTGTGCAATCTTCAGTGCAGTTTTCCATGTCAAAGATGCCGCACTCAGGTCACTTTCCATCGTTCGTCTCCATGTTGTTTTTGGGCGCCCCTGTTTTCTCTTTCCCTCTGGTGTCCATGTGAGGGCTGTTTTGACAGGTATATCATGATTCATTCTCATAACGTGGCCAAGCCATTTCCATCTTCTCTTGGTTATCATATTGTCTAAAGTTTCTTGGTTTGTGACTTGAAGTAGTTTAGTGTTTGAGATTGTATCTGGCCAGAAAATTTTGATAATTCTACGTAGACATGTGTTGTGGAAGGTAGACAGCTTGTGTGCATCCTTTTTGGTCATTCTCCAGCATTCCGCTCCATAAAGAAGAACTGGCAAAATGATGCTCTTGTAGAGTCGGAGTTTCGTTCCTCTGCAGTAATTGTTGGATTTCCAGATTTGCCTCATCCTTCCAAAAGCAGCTCTAGTTTTGCTCAGACTTGACTGTATGTCCTCTTCGGTCCCTCCCGGCAGGGACACCACACTGCCAAGATATGTGAAATGTTCTACATTTTCAAGAGTTTGGTTATTTATGGTCACTGGTTGTTGGTTTGGACTGCTTGTCATGATCTTAGTTTTCTTTGTATTTATTCTCAGTCCCACAATGTCTGCTGTGCAGTTGAGTCTGTTACTTTTCTCTTGTATATATTCATGTTTATGTGATAAGAGTGCTATATCATCTGCAAAATCAAGGTCCTCAAGCATGGTGAATGGAGTCCATCGTATACCTCTTAATGTCCTGTCTACTGTGTTCTTTAGTATCCACTCAATCACAAGGTTGAAGAGGAGAGATGACAAAACACATCCCTGTCTTACACTTGTCTTTACTGGGAAAGATGTATTGTAATTTTTTATACTGCAGGAAAAGTCTTTATAAAAGAGAGCAATTATGTTGACTATTTTTTCTGGAATTCCATAATGTCGTAAAATTTTCCATACACTGTCTCTATGTACGCAGTCAAAAGCTTTCTCAAAGTCCACAAAATTAATATATATACTTCTCTGCCATTTATTGCATTGTTCTAAGATGTTGCGTATGGCAAAGATGTGTTCAGTTGTTCCTCTGCCCTTTCGGAATCCTGCTTGTTCTACTCGTAGGCATTTATCTACTCCTTCTTCAAGCCTCATTATGATGATTTTACAAAATATTTTGCTTGGTACTGAGAGTAGAGTAATTCCCCTCCAATTATTGCAGTTTGTTAAGTCTCCTTTTTTGGGGGATTTGGACTATTATTCATTCGGTCCAGTCATCAGGCAACACTTCTTTTTCCCAAATATCCTTGAACAATGGTTCTAGAATGCTAGCAGTTGTGTTGGGATCTACTTTGAGAAGTTCTGCTGGCAGTTCGTCTTTGCCTGGTGTTTTGTTGTTCTTTAAAGTGTGGATTTCTTGTTTGCTTGGTGGTTCAGTAATAATGTCAATGTCCTGAGAGGCTGGTTGAATATCTGGGGGATTTTCAGGATCAGGTCTGTTCAATAGGTCGGAGAAGTGTTGAGTCCACTGCATGTCTTGTTTTTGTTCTGTGGTGAGCAGTCTGCCTTGGTTATCTCTGATGGGTATGCTGTGATAATTGTTTCTGCTTCCGCAAATTTGCTGGGTAATTTTGTGTAGGGTTTGTAGATCATGTGCTTTATCAGCATTTTCTTTCTGTTTCAGCTAGATTTTCCATAAATCTTCTTTTGTCAGCTCTGGCACTTTTCTTTGTCACTTTATTTAGTTTGCTATATTCTAACATTAGTTTGTCTTTCTGACGTTCTGATTTAGTGTGATTTATGAGGCTCTTTTTTCTTTTTCGCTTGGCAATATAGACCATGGTTTGACTGCTTATCCACTCTTTGTGGTGTTGTTTCCTGGTTCCTAATATGTTGTTGCCAACCCCTCGTAATTACCATTTGATTAATCTTACGAGAAAAATATGAAGCAAAACATTTATACTTACTCTTTCTAATTCTTCTTTGACTTCTGCTTCCAGACGTCTGATGTCTTCCATTGTCAAACCGTAAAACTCATCTGTCCAGCAAACCACTTGGCGGTGAAAGTTTAAAAATAACCGCTGCTCTTGCTGTGGACAAAAATTGTCATATATTAACCATTGTAATGAACAAGTGACACATCTTGATGAAAAAGTGTAATATCTTGATGAACAAGTGGAATATCTTGATGAACAAGTGGAATATCTTTATGAACAAGTGTAACATTCTTATGAACAAGTACAACATCTTGATGAACAAGTGGAATATCTAGATGAACAAGTACAATATCTTGATAAACAAGTGATATAACTTGATGAACAAGTACAAAATCTTGATGAACAAGTGGAATATCTTGATGAATAAGTAACATTCTTATGAACAAGTACAACTTCTTGATGAACAAGTGGAATATCTAGATGAACAAGTACAATATCTTGATAAACAAGTGGAATATCTTGATGAATAAGTAACATTCTTATGAACAAGTACAACTTCTTGATGAACAAGTGGAATATCTAGAACAAGTGCAACATCTTGATGAACAAGTGGAATATTTTGATGAACAAGTACAACATCTTGATGAGCAAGTGAAATATCTTGATGAACAAGTACAACATCTTGATGAACAAGTACAACATCTTGATGAACAAGTGGAATATTTTGATGAACAAGTACAACATCTTGATGAGCAAGTGAAATATCTTGATGAACAAGTACAACATCTTGATGAACAAGTACAACATCTTGATGAACAAGTGGAATATCTTGATGAACAAGTGCAACACCTTGATGAAAAAGTGGAATATTTTGATAAACATGTGTAACAATCTGATGAACAAGTGCAACACCTTGATGAGAAAGTGAAATATTTTGATAAACAGAGTGCAACATCTTGATGAACAAGTGTGAAAATCGGATGAACAGGTGGAATATCTTCATGAGCGAGTGCAACGCCTTGATGAACAAGTGCAACGCCTAGAAGTACAAGTGCAACGCCTTGATGAACAAGTGCAACGCCTAAATGAACAAATGCAATATCTTGATGAGCAAGTAAAACATCTTGACGATCAAGTTAATCATTTAATATTATTTTTTTTTCTTCCTCATGTTCACCAGCTGTAAACCTTGCAGAAAATCCTGTTTTATTTTTTGGGGTCCACTTCTGGACTCTGGTCTTGTTCCAAGACTTGGGTGTTGTGTGTAAGCCCAGTTTACAGACACAGCTTATTTGCATGCAAGCTGTTGGTGTCATCATCTCTCAGACATCTGCGCTACTCTGACTTTGAAGACAACGTCGATCCTAGTTACACTGACCAGCATCTCGGTTGGTAATCCATTTCTAAGACAAACATGGAAAGGTGTAGATAGACATCAACGTCTACCCAACAGCACGATGGACAAATGTTACAGTTTGATGTACAAGGGTTTATGCTAGGGCTGTACCAAATATTCGCTTCGTATTTGCTTCGGTGCCAAATAGTGGACCTAATAACTATTCGGTATTCGACCGAATAGTTGCGGTCGGGCCGAATACGAATAGTGGTTACCTCACACCCATTTCTAGACTGGTGGAAAATAAACATATCAAGATTTACCACCTTGGTTCATACTGTCAAGCGTTATCTTTGTGCACCACCTACAAGCGTACCAAGTGAACGTCTGTTTAGTACAGCTGGAAATACCTTCAGTGAGACCAGAAGCTGCCTTAATGACAACATGGAACAATTTATTTTTTAAATTTTTTTTTTTGGAAAGCCAATGACGCTTTCATGGATTAACTAAGCTGTCAGTGACAATTTACAAGTTTAATTACTTGTTATAAAACTAAGAATACTTTAATTCCTATGTATTAGTTACCAAAGACTAACTGACTGAAAGTGGAAGAATGGGCCTCAGTTTGAATAGTGGGAAGACAGAAGTAATGGTGGTATCAAAGAAAATAATTATTCCTAAATGTGTAAAAAAGTCAATGGTTTTATTGTGGGACAAGTAAAGAAATTTAAGTATCTGGGCATATGGAAGACGCATTACTGAAATAGGAAACAGAATAGGAACGGCAAAAACTGCATTTTAAAAAATGAAGAACATCTTATGCAATATATATCTTTGTCAATGAAGGTTAGAAAAAGAATTCTTGCTTGCTACATACATCCAGTTTTAACATATGGCTGTAAGTCCTGGACAATTGGTAGGCAGGTCAAACAATTTCTTGAGGCCTCAGAGATGTGGTTTCACAGAACAATGCTTAAAATACCTTAAACAGAAAAAAAAAAAAAAAAAAGCATCCCAGAGGTTTTGATAGAGGCGGGAGCCCGAAGACAACTACTCACAGACATCAGAAGGAGACAGTCATCATTTTTCGGCCATGTTATAAGATGAGGGAAAATGGAACTTGTGGTGACCACTGGAAAGATATGTGGAAGGAGGGATAGAGAAAGACAACGAGAGAAGATTCTTGACAGTCTTGTTGCATGTCATGGAGGTGTGTCAGCACACGAACTTATACATGCTGCAGGAGATCGCAGATTGTGGCGAGGCATAATCGCCCATGCCAGTCGACAAAGCACCTGATGATGATGATTCACTATTCGTATTCGGCCGAATAGTTGGTCAGGCTATTCGTATTTGGCCGAATAGTGAAAATCACTATTCGGTACAGCCCTAGTTTATGCTTCAACAGGGGGAGAAGGTAGAAGCAGGAAGGTACAAAGCACATAGGACATGTTAATGATAAATAACTTACTACTAACGCAAATGCTTCCATACGTTTCTGAAGACCAAACCATTTGAACCATACTTTGACGAGTTTATAGGCGCACATGATTGGCTTGACTTTGTTCTGTAACAGACACCATCAGTTGCAACTTAGTTCTGACACAATCACTAACATAGAAACATCATATACAACCATTGCAAGTTAGCTGTGACACAAGAAGGGACAGAACATATTAAGAAACAGGGAAAATATGCTTAACATACACATACTTTCAGATAGCACTTACACCCAAAAACATAGTCAAATGGTCTGCTTAAACTGTCAGACAGTAAAATTCTATGCTTATATCCCTAAACAGCCAAATGGTATGCTTAAACTGACAGACAGTAAAATTATATGCTTATATCCACAAACAGTCAAATGGTATGTTTATGGTGACAAGCAGTCTAAACGGTATACCTACATCCACAAACATATAGTAAGATGGCACATTTACAATTCACATAAGTAAACAGGAAACATATCTTTACACAGTCCAACCCTTTGTTATCATTTATGTAATCAAACAGTATGCTTACTATTTACACAGTCAAACAGAATACTTACCATTTACACAGTTAAACAGCATGCTTACCATTTACACTGACAAACAATATACTTACCAATTACAATGGGGGAAAAGTAGGCTTATCGGCCAAAAAAACGTGCTTACTATTTTTATAAATAGTACACTTATCATTTACACATTCAAACATTACGTTTACCATTATAGTCAAACAGTATCCTTACCATTTATATAGTCAAACAGCATGCTTAACATTTACACAGTCAAACAGCATGCTTACCATTTACACAAACATTATACTTACCATTTACACTGACAAACAATATACTTACCATTTACACTGACAAACAATATACTTACCATTTACACAGTCAAACAGAATACTTACCATTTACACTGACAAACAATATACTTACCATTTACAATGGGGGAAAAGTAGGCTTATCGGCAAAACAAAAGTGCTTACTATTTATATAAATAGTACACTTACCATTTACACATTCAAACATTACGTTTACCATTATAGTCAAACAGTATGCATACCATTTACACAGTCAAACAGTATGCTTACCATTTACACAGTCAAACAGCATGCTTAACATTTACACAGTCAAACATTATGCTTACCATTTACACAGTCAAAAAGTATGCTTACCATTTACACAGTCAAACAGTATGCTTACCATTTACACAGTCAAAAAGTATGCTTACCATTTACACAGTCAAACAGTATGCTTACCATTTACACAGTTAAACAGTATGCTTACCATTTACACAGTTAAACAGTATGCTTACCATTTACACAGTCAAACAGTATGCTTACCATTTACACAGTCAAACAGTATGCTTACCATTTACACAGTCAAACAGTATGCTTACCATTTACACAGTCAAACAGTATGCTTACCATTTACACAGTCAAACAGTATGCTTACCATTTACACAGTCAAACAGCATGCTTACCATTTACAGTCAAACATTATGCTTATCATTTACACAGTCAAACATTATGGTTAAATGGGTTTTACATTATTAAACATTTCAGTTAAATGGGTTTTTATCTTCTCAACCATTTATAAACATACAGTCAAATGGTATGCTTACCATCCACAAACATACAGCCAAAGGGTATGTTTACTATCCACAAACATCCAGCCAAACGGTATCCTTACTATCAATAAACATACAATCAAATGGCAAAATTACTATCCACAAACATGTAACCAAATGGTATGCTTGCTATCCACAAACATACAACCAAATGGTATGCTTACTATCCACAAACATACAACCAAATGGTAAGCTTACTATCCACAAACATACAACCAAACTGTAAGCTTACTATCCACAAACATACAACCAAATGGTAAGCTTACTATCCACAAAAATACAACCAAATGGTAAGCTTACTATCCACAAACATACAACCAAACTGTAAGCGTACTATCCACAAACATACAACCAAATGGTAAGCTTACTATCCACAAACATACAACCAAACTGTAAGCTTACTATCCACAAACATACAACCAAATGGTATGCTTACTATCCACAAACATACAACCAAACTGTAAGCGTACTATCCACAAACATACAACCAACCTGTAAGCTTACTATCCACAAACATACAACCAAATGGTATGCTTACTATCCACAAACATACAAACAAACTGTAAGCTTACTATCCACAAACATACAACCTAACTGTAAGCTTACTATCCACAAACATACAACCAAACTGTAAGCTTACTATCCACAAACATACAAACAAACTGTAAGCTTACTAACCACAAACATACAACCAAACTGTAAGCTTACTATCCACAAACATACAACCTAACTGTAAGCTTACTATCTATGCAGAACATCTTCATGATAACCGCCATGACATCTGACAGTGAGAGATGAAACATTCGACGAGTGCCCGTCAGCTGTGACCAGCTGAAGAGATACGTTCATCCAAACGTGACCACCAAAGACAGGTGACAGGGGCGTGATTGAGAAGGTACGCCAGAAAGAGCGGGAAAGCGGGAGAATAAAGTTAGCCCCGAAACCGCTTGATAAGTTAGTTAGCCCCGGAACCGCCATGAGAAGACAGTTAGGGCTAGACCGCTAGAGAAACCGGTTAGGAGAAAACTAGTGCTTTACTTCGTTTAGAAGGATATGTTAAACTTAGAGTTTAACTAGAACAGTGAGTTAGCCACGGAACCGCTTGATAGGACAGGTTAGGGCTGAACCGCTGGAAAGACGGTTAGGAGAAAACTAGTGCTTTACTTCGTTTAGAAGGTATATGTTAAACTTGGAGTTTAGCCAGAACAGTGGTTAAGGAACTCGTAGAGGCATACGAATAGCCAGTAATAAGGAGTGTTCATATACTATTGCTTATTGAATTTATGAAATGTGTGTGACGAGAACATTATGAATAAACCAGCTCTTATGTAATTGATTACATCACTGGCGTTGTTCTTGAGTACGATTGAAGAGAGATACGAACTATATTCATTCAACTTGGCCGACTTAGGCACATCTATTTCTTGGGGGATGTACAGACGCCCCGTTTAGACAAGTGTGAGGATATTTGGTGCCGCGACCAGGATCAGTCTTGTGTACTCGACATCTTTAAAAAACAAGACTGCTGTTACAACATAACAAATAAGCAACTGCTATGAAAAGGTGAACTAAAAGCAAGTTTATGATTGTACCTGCTGAAAAAAAAAAAAGTCGATAAACCCGTCATCAGATTGGAGAGACGTAAACCAGACCAACAGCCTGCACCACCTTTTGGAGCCAACCGTCTACACTAGAATCAGGGGGACACGCCCGTTCTAGCCTGGAGCACCCGTCTACACTAGAATCAGGGGGACACGCCCGTTCTAGCCTGGAGCAAAACGTCTACACTAGAATCAGGGGGACACGCCCGTTCTAGCCTGGAGCAAACCGTCTACACTAGAATCAGGGGGACGCGCCCGTTCTAGTCGGGAGCCATAATATAAACTTTTCCTAACTTTACACACTCGGAAGACTATAGGAAAGTCAAGAACTGTGAGCTGTCCGATTTTACAAATAGGAACTGAAAAAAAAAGCGTGATTTTAAAGAACCTTGAACATTAACATTAATTAGTTTAAATATATTGTGATTTTCAATTTACAGTGGTGTAGGAAAAACCTTTCTATCTTTTCCTACCTTTCTTCCTAAACGTAGAAAATAATTCCAGGACAGTGCCGATTTTTAATTACAGTGTGTTGTGAAACGAGAATTTTTTTTCAGACCGCACTTAACAAGGTAATTTGACATTTTCTGTTTTTTAAATTTTAATTTAGTTTACATTAGTTAATTTCCCAGATTTTTAAAAATGGCCCATCAAAGAACAGTAAGAGCACAGTTTAGCAGAGTTTTTAATGAAGTAGCACAGTTAGGTAGAAAACTCCGTATTCCATTTTTTATAGAACAAAAAACTGCTAAACACTGGTCAACTGTAGATAGTCGTAGACAAAGACAGAGAGAAAGAAGTTATAACATAGTATCAGTCACTAGAACTAACGTCGCTGCTAATTGACTGTCCGGTTTCCCAGACAGGCGAAATTATGATAACGTGAGATTGCAATACCCTAGAGATAATCAGTACCGCAGACCAGACAACACAAAAGCGTACGAGAAAAATCTGGGTCAAGCGAGGTCACAAATACTGAACAAAAGAATCAAAAATAGTGATTTTAATAGAGCCGACAGGTTACGAACGTAAGCTAATAATAGAAATAGCAGAGCACAGGAGCAGTGGCATAATTATGGCAACAGTTATCAGAACATAAATAGAGTAGGAAATATCCATGATAATACCCGAAGTCGAGTCAGGTCATGTAATCCAGATACCAGATTCCGCATGATGAGCACTAATCAAGATTACAGGGCCCACGGTACGACCCATAATCAAGCCAACAAATTCAAAAGAGACAGGTTAAGAAAATTAGGCTATAATAAGAATATAAGATTGCAAAACTTAGGAAATAATCGCGAGGTCAGTAACTATAACGGATTATGGCAGACAGGTAATAAAAGCACGTGCGCTGCTGATGATGAGACAAATAGATTAGTAGTAAAAGGGTTAAAAGAGAGGAATCTCATTAAACGGTTTAATAAAAGCTACATTAAAGAAGTAAATGCGATAATTGTAAACGGGACACGCGGTCGATACTTTAAAGAAGAAGGGAACATAGAGACACATAAAGAGGTAATACCGGCCAACGTTAAGTCGGAAAAAGAAGAAGTTAAAGAGGGTTGTTTAGCAATGGAATGGTTATGGGAAGTAAACGCGGTAGAAGTAAAAGGACTAGATCGTAATAGCGCACATAGGAAAGTAGAGAGGGTAGGGACAATTAAAGAAAGAAATCAGCAGGATTTGTCTTATGCACAGGCGATGCCTACAGAAGAAGAAGGTGAAGGAGCACCGTTTGTAGTTAGTAATATAAAGATAGATTTATTCTCTGAAAATTACGACGCAGATGATGAGTTTGGGATCACTAAGAAAGCAGGTCGTAGATTTTTAGTCGCTGTTAGAACCAGGACAAATACTCCGTCTAGTGTGAAAGAATTAAAACCGTCAGAAGTACTAGTTAACGGTACATGTAATCGTAGAAAAGAAGAAGAAGAAACAGTAGAAACTGCGCCTAACAAAAGGGAAAAACAGGAAACAGGAATTTCTGAAATTAAAAAGAGAAGTACAGATCTAAAAGAGAAAATTGTTTTACAAACACACAGAGAACGTAGGGCATTATTACTTGAGGCAGAGTCTACTGAAGCGTCAGAAAGCTCAGAGAAGATGAGAAGCGACACAGATAGTTGTGGAAACGCAGACGATTATGAAACAGATCAGGACATGGCCGAGCCCAGAAGAGGAAAGAGAAACCGAGGGCATACGTCATTCAGTAGGGCATTATTACTTGAGGCAGAGTCTACTGAAGCGTCAGAAAGCTCAGAGGAGATGAGAAGCGACACAGATAGTTGTGGAAACGCAGACGATTATGAAACAGATCAGGACATGGCCGAGCCCAGAAGAGGAAAGAGAAACCGAGGGCATACGTCATCCAGTCAGGATGACTGCAACCCTCCGCATAAAAAGAGGGAGGCAAAAGTGAGTGCCATACATACACGCAGAAAAATGAAAGAGGGAGGACTAACGTTTCAGTGGTCTTTGGTTTAGGATGCTGTTGAATGAAAACAAATCAGATGACAGTGCACAGCTATGTTGTACGTCTTCTTTTTTTAATACTTTGAACATTTCGTAAACGGTTGTTTATTTTTATAGCTGTTATTCGCTGCCAGTGCATGGTGTAATATGATAATTTGTAGAAGAATCAGTAAAGGATATGATAGAGTTTTTTAGCAATGAAAAATACTCATAAACGGAAGCAAAGGAGTAAACAACATACATACATAACCAGCGATGGAGTCCAAATAACTGCCGACCGATCATACACGGAAAATATGATAATCAATGACAGGAGTTTAGATTTTATCAAGAATAATAGCTTTCATTCTATTAGGGTTTGGGAACCGTTTGTGACATCACTACCAACATTCAAAGTACAAGACATGCCACAACATCTAAAGAACATTAGCGCGATAGACATGCATGATCTCATACACGAATTAAGTCAAGTTGACACTTTACAAGACAATACTTTAAATACACACAGAAACAGGATCATACTGATACCTGGATTATGCATATTGATGGGACTTATAACTTTTCTTTATTTGCGACGGAAAGGCTTTAAATGTACAAAAGTAACTAATCATTTAACAAAAGAAAAAACACAGATCACTAATAAGACAGAAGAAGAAATAGAACTAGAACAATTAGCATCCACTACAGTTAGTAGGCCAGAATCATCAGGGGGTAGACTGAATTTATACCCTGAGTCAACCATACATTAATTACAGCTTCCCCCCCCCCCCCTCCCTTTCTTCACCCATGACTGACTGAAAGGGGATCGTTCGTAAAATGGTTCAATAAATGTGGGATTGTAGGGTGTATAACAAGTAATTAGTTTCATTCATTACAATTAACGTACGTTATATTGCTGTGTACAGAGGTACCACGCTCGCTACACATATTCTGTTGTTGTGTCTACATGTCATTTGTCTGACAATATTAAATATATACCGTTGTTTTGTCCCTACCATTTAATATTTACATTTGGTTTTGCACTATGAACGTTTTTTAATCGTGTTGTACTCTCCCGGACAAGTGAAAATCCACACGTTCGGTTGTGGGTGAAGATTACAATACCTACATGTTTTATGTTCGCTAAGAGAGTTGCTGGCCACAAAACCTCTCTTATTCATTCTGTCAGAATGATGACTGATTTGAGTTTAACCAGACTTTATTGAGGTACACAGTTAGAAACGTACTTGGCGATAAGCCAGTCCAAAGCATGACATGATTGGTAACTGAATATAGGCCGGCTATTTCTTTACAGAAGATGCGATATGCATTAAACAGATGAAGCAACCTCTTAGGGAAGCAACAATAAACGCTGTGGACTATCACAGTAGATAAATGCCTGTAAATACAGATGGTGGCATTGTACATTCGACTTGAGGAAATGCTACGATTGTTTCCGAGAAATTTCTCTCCAATTAATATACCTAACGGTATAAGAATTATTTATACTCTGTAAAGGTTATACCTAATTATTCAGTCTATGTTGACTTTCTCAGAGATTCTATTTTCATCCTTTCTTGGGGAGATGACATTTTCGAGTTTTACTTTATTGATAACTGGGGATACATGGCATGTCATTTCTTGTATACAATGTTTTCAGGTTTGAGTTTATAAAGTGAGAATACAGATACTATTCCTTTATACGTCAGACAACTCCGCACATTCATTAGGGATACCAGTGAATAAGAAGTTGATATGCTAATACAACGAGGGAGTTGTATCGTTTTTTTTATGTCTTTAGAATTATTGACTATTAGTTATTGTATGCATGTCACGTTTTCATTATACTGCATGAATTTTATGATGTTACATGTTATGTTGTATGCTTTCATTACGTGGCTAGATGTTCATATAAGGTTTAGTTAGGTAGCGGGTATAATTAGAGTAGTTTTTATAAAATTGAAGATAGGAAACAATTTTGTTAAAAAATGTGTGTGGCGAATGTAATGAAATATAGGCAGAAAGGGGTTAAATGAACAAAGCATACATTTCAGACCACCACACGGCGTACTAATCCATCACTGTGTGAAATGACAGAAATGGGTGATTAGAAAGCCATGGCCTAGCCAACTATGCAGAACATCTTCATGATAACCGCCATGACATCTGACAGTGAGGGATGAAACATTCGACGAGTGCCCGTGAGCTGTTACCAGCTGAAGAGATACGTTCATCCAAACGTGACCACCAAAGACAGGTGACAGGGGCATGATTGAGAAGGTACGCCAGAAAGAGCGGGAAAGCGGGAGAATAAAGTTAGCCCCGAAACCGCTTGAGAAGTTAGTTAGCCCCGGAACCGCCATGAGAAGACAGTTAGGGCTAGACCGCTAGAGAAACCGGTTAGGAGAAAACTAGTGCTTTACTTCGTTTAGAAGGATATGTTAAACTTAGAGTTTAACTAGAACAGTGAGTTAGCCACAGAACCGCTTGATAGGACAGGTTAGGGCTGAACCGCTGGAAAGACGGTTAGGAGAAAACTAGTGCTTTACTTCGTTTAGAAGGTATATGTTAAACTTGGAGTTTAGCCAGAACAGTGGTTAAGGAACTCGTAGAGGCATACGAATAGCCAGCAATAAGGAGTGTTCATATACTATTGCTTATTGAATTTATGAAATGTGTGTGACGAGAATATTATGAATAAACCAGCTCTTATGTAATTGATTACATCACTGGCCTTGTTCTTGAGTACGATTGAAGAGAGATACGAACTATATTCATTCAACTTGGCCGACTTGGGCACATCTATTTCTTGGGGGATGTATAGGCACAACTGTGCCACACACAAACATACAACCTAACTGTAAGCTTACTATCCACAAACATACAACCAAACTGTAAGCTTACTATCCACAAACATACAAACAAACTGTAAGCTTACTAACCACAAACATACAACCAAACTGTAAGCTTACTATCCACAAACATACAACCTAACTGTAAGCTTACTATCCACAAACATACAACCAAACTGTAAGCTAACTATCCACAAACATACAACCTAACTGTAAGCTTACTATCCACAAACATACAACCAAACTGTAAGCTTACTATCCACAAACATACAACCTAACTGTAAGCTTACTAACCACAAACATACAACCTAACTGTAAGCTTACTATCCACAAACATACAACCAAACTGTAAGCTTACTATCCACAAACATACAACCAAACTGTAAGCTTACTAACCACAAACATACAACCTAACTGTATGCTTACTATCCACAAACATACAACCAAACTGTAAGCTTACTATCCACAAACATACAACCTAACTGTAAGCTTACTATCCACAAACATACAACCAAACTGTAAGCGTACTATCCACAAACATACAACCAAATGGTATGCTTACTATCCACAAACATACAACCAAACTGTAAGCTTACTAACCACAAACATTCAACCAAACTGTGAGCTTAATATCTACAAACATACAACCAAATGGTATGCTTACCATCCACTCTCCTGTCTTATCTCTGGGAAGAGGAGGTCTTCCTGCCTTGGGAGAACCGACCAAGCAGGGATCCCATTCAGGTTTGTAGTCCTGTACCAGCAAGTCAGAAGACAAACAGTCAATGTTAACTATTCAAAAGTCAGATGTTCACTTCTTAGCTTTAACAATCCACATACGAGAGCTTTGGGCAAGCCCACAGACTGCTGATGCCACCAACACTAATGAGCTTATTCTATACAATGAGCCCACATGCAAATTCATGCTAAACTTTCTAGGCCACTAAACTTGTGTGGAATATTTGTTTGTTTGTTTGTTTAAATCAACATCCACTTCTGCCATTAGGCGGCGTCGGCAGGAACAGTTTGCGATCCATTGCTTGATGGGCAGCAGTGGCTATTGTCATTCTGTGTTGATATAGAAGCTCTTTAATGTCATCAGTCCATATTCTCCTAGGGCGGCTTTCACTTCAGATCTTTTCATGTGTAGTGCCTTCACTGGTAATTGTTCTGCTAGCATTCTTACTAGATGAAAAACCATTTGATCTTCTGTTTCTCAATGAATTTGCTGTGTGGTGCTTTTCCCACAGTCTGTTTAATAATATGTATCATTTCTAACTTTGTCTTGGTTGTTTAAGTTGGCCGCTTTTCTCAGGCATCTCATTTCAAAGGTGTTATTTTACATAGGTTAGCCGTTGATAATGTCCAAGTTTGGCACTGAAAGCGAAGTGTTGGTGTGAATATGCTGTTTATAATCTGTTTCTTGGCGCTCAAACTTATGTTTGGATGTCTTAATAATGGTGTTGGTTGGTATATACCTGCACTGGCTCGTTGGCATCTTATTTCTACTTTCTGATCTATTCTCCCGTCCTCTGAGAATATACTTACAAGATATTCAAATTCTTCTTCTACTTGGCGTTCACCGGCTGCAAACTCCAGCCGAAAGTTCTGGGTGTTCATCCACTTCTGGACTTAAGTATTGCTTCAGAACCTGAGTGTTGCGTGCACATGTTTCACAGATCTGGTTTATCTGTATGCAGACCTTTGGTTCCTCGCCCCTCAGGTAGATGCACTCCATCTTCGAGGAAAGTCCACAATTAGTCGACTCTGACGACATGCTTGTTGGGGAGGCAGTGAGTCTATTCTTGTTTTTGGTCAATGGGGCCCCGGAACCCACACGGGGATTTAAATTCTTTAACTTGCTTCAGACAAGTATCATTCAATCTGACTTCTAGTGGACTAGGCATTCTGCTGACCTCCAATACTTCAGTTTTAGTAGTACTTGTTTTCATGTTATATCTTCTGCATGCTGAGCATTCAAATGTTCTTGCAGCCTACTCTCCTCAATGTAGAACAGGCACTGATCGTCTGCAGCTCATTTACTGCCTTTCAGTCCAATGCATAAGATTTCAGTTAACCCCCTATTCAGTTACCTGTTACGAGAGGCTTGTCGGGTTTATCACTGGGCTATCATGATTTCAATATTATAATCTATCTGTACTAGCGGGACAGAAAGAGATCAATGATGTGACATACATAGCTATAGAAAATTTACCTTCGGTGCCACTTTGTCGTTGGCAATATCTATTTTTACCACTTCCCGAGCCATTAAATCTCGACCTTGCAAGCCGTGAATCTAAACAAGAAAAAACATTCAGTAACTTTAAATAAAAATGTATCCTTTTATAACAAGAAATTTGAAATTAAATGTGAACTTCTTATAACCCTAAGGTCACAGCAGAAGAAGATGAAAGAAATCAAACAACGATGCAATAAAGCCGATCAAGTTTTAGGCCAAATGGCACCAATTCTGAAATCCAAGCATGTGAATATGAACACTAAAAGAACACTTGTCAACACAATGTTTTAACCAATGCTATGCTATCAATGTCAAACATTGACACTGTCTTCAGAAGACAAAGGAAAAATAGTCACGACAGAAATGCAATGTTTATGTACTATGCTAGGTGTAATGAGGAAAGATCGGCACGATGATATCAGAAGGAGAGTCGTCATAGAACCAACACTGAACTTTGGCCATGTAACAAGACTGGCATCAGATAAGACACCACAGACAGCAATGTTATACAGATACAGTGGTAACAGAGCCAGAGGTCGACCACGCAGAATATTGACCGCAAAAATATCAAAGTCAGTGAAAGGTACTTTATAGGAAGTGAACACTAGGGTCTGTTCTATAGATCTTATGCTGCACTGACGCCGCAAGGCATTCCAGGAGTACAGAAAAAAGAGAAGAAAAAGAAGTATATAGCAAATATGTTCACCAGATTTCTCAAGGAAAGAAAAACAACTAGAAAAAACCTGGCCATGGCACCTCGTATGTCATGGTACGTGTAAGGGTCTAACATGGCAGGGGCAGCCTCCACTAGAGGACTTCATTACTTCCTCTTCCTGCTTCAAAACTACCTCTACTTGTGATACTCAGATGCCCATGGGAGCGACACAGCAGCTGCTACATGATGATGCTGATGATGACAGCATATAAGGAGTAAAGGTGGGTGGAGTTAACAATCACATTAAAGCATTCAGCTGTCCCCATCTTCAACAGACAAAGTTTCAATTCCGATGGAATATTGTGAAAGTCTTTTGGTGAAACCACTTTCTGTCCTGAACCCATAACCTGCAACAACACGTGCACGCAGACGTGACTACTGTGCACGCAGACATGACTACTGTGAATGCAGATGTGACTACTGTGCATGCAGACGTGACTACTGTGCATGCAGACGTGACTACTGTGCATGCAGACGTGACTACTGTGCATGCAGACGTGACTACTGTGCACACAGACGTGACTACTGTGCACACAGACATGACTACTGTGCATGCAGATGTGACTACTGTGCATGCAGATGTGACTACTGTGAATGCAGACGTGACTACTGTGCATGCAGATGTGACTACTGTGCATGCAGACGTGACTACTGTGAATGCAGATGTGACTACTGTGAATGCAGACCTGACTACTGTGAATGCAGATGTGACTACTGTGAATGCAGATGTGACTACTGTGAATGCAGACATGACTACTGTGCACGCAGACATGACTTGACTACTGTGCATGCAGACATGACTACTGTGCACGCAGACATGACTACTGAACATGCAGACGTGACTTGACTACTGTGCACGCAGACATGACTACTGAACATGCAGACGTGACTTGACTACTGTGCACGCAGACATGACTACTGTGCATGCAGACGTGATTTGACTACTGTGCACACAGACATGACTACTGTGCATGCAGACATGACAACTGTGCACACAGACATGACTACTGAGCACACAGACATGACTACTGTGCACGCAGACATGACTACTGTGCACACAGACGTGACTACTGTGAATGCAGACGTGACTACTGTGAATGCAGACGTGACTACTGTACACGTAGACGTGACTTGACTACTGTGCATGCAGACATGACTACTGTGCATGCAGATGTGGCTTGACTACTGTGCATGCAGACAGGACTACTGTGCACGCAGACATGACTACTGTGCACACAGATGTGACTTGACTACTGTGCATGCAGACATGACTACTGTGCACGCAGACGTGACTTGACTACTGTACACGCAGATATGACTACTGTGCATGCAGACGTGACTACTGTGTTAGCAGACATGACTACTGTGCACGCAGACATGACTACTGTGCACGCAGACATGACTACTGTGCATGCAGACATGACTACTGTGCACACAGATGTGACGTGACTACTGTGCACGCAGACATGACTACTGTGCACGCAGATGTGACTACTGTGCACACAGACATGACTACTGTACATGCAGATGTGACTGTTGTGCACGCAGACGTGACTGCTGTGCACGCAGACGTGACCACTGTACACGCAGACATGACTACTGTGCACACAGACGTGACTACTGTGCATGCAGACGTGACTAATGTGCATGCAGACGTGACTACTGTGCATGCAGACATGACAACAGTGCATGCAGACGTGACTACTGTGCATGCAGACAGGACTGCTGTGCATGCAGACGTGACTTGACTACTGTGCACACAGTTGTGACTACTGTGCACACAGACGTGACTTGACTACTGTGCACGCAGACATGACTACTGTGCACACAGACGTGACTTGACTACTGTACACGCAGATATGACTACTGTGCACGCAGACGTGACTACTGTGCACACAGACGTGAATACTGTGAATGCAGACGTGACTACTGTGAATGCAGACATGACTACTGTACACGCAGACGTGACTTGACTACTGTGCATGCAGACATGACTACTGTGCATGCAGACGTGGCATGACTACTGTGCACGCAGACATGACTACTGCGCACACAGACATAACTACTGTGCACGCAGACATGACTACTGTGCATGCAGACATGACTACTGTGCACACAGAATGACTACTGTACATGCAGACGTGACTACTGTGCACGCAGACGTCACTGCTGTGCATGCAGACGTGACCACTGTGCACGCAGAGGTGACCACTGTACATGCAGACGTGACTACTGTGCATGCAGACGTGACTTGACTACTGTGCATGCAGCTGTGACTACTGTGCACACAGACATGACTACTGTACATGCAGACGTGACTACTGTGCACACAGACGTGACTACTGTTCCAGTGAGTTGTGGAGATTTTGAGACAGATCAGTGAAATTATGTGTTATTTGTAATGATATCATTGTTGATTTGTCTTGTTTGCTGATAAGGTTTTCGAGCTGCACTATTCATTTTGTTGCGACTGTGGCACTGTGAAGGTGACTGGTTCTTCTCATTTGAACTGATATTTGTTCAGACCCTCAGCAACAAACAGAAGACAAAACAAGGACAATCAGAGCAGTTATGACAACTTACAGAGCAGTTATGACAACTTACATTGTATGTGTTTCCATTGTCTGGTGCATGGAATGACTCAATGATAATGTAAAAATCATCCTTCATGAAATCTGGATTCTGAAATTATAACAAATCCTAAATGAAATCTGGATTCTGAGACAATAATGCATCTTTCTAGAAATCTAGATTTTGAAATTACAATACACCTTTAGCAGGATGGTTATCTTAAAAAAAATCTCTATCATTCAAGAATCTTTGCCTTCCATCTACAGACTGAAGAGCATGTTGTGGGATACTATGGTTTTGGCATGCCTAGTGATCTTCTTCTTCTGGCTGGCATGCTGTGTTGCAGTTTACAGCTAGGCTGCAATATTTACACCTTTCAGTCCACTCGTCCAATTTCAACAAACTCCTGATTAGCTGCCTTGTAAGACATGCTTGTTAGGAGGCAGTGGGTAAATCCTCCCCGCACCCCCAAAATGGGCTCCAGAACCCACACAGTTATGCTTTCACAATCGATGTCAATGCACAGTGGGGATTCCCATACATGCTCAGTCCTCCAGTGCAGCAGCCACTACAAAATATCTCTACTAGTTGTTTCCATGAGAAACTTGTTACATAGTCTCCTGTCTTGACCTCGAAAAGAGCACAGATGTGCTTTGCCAAGCTTTCCTCCCAGGTCCCGCTATCTTGTTAGCACCAGAGATTCATCAATAGCTGACAACCTAGTCCGTACAGTGCTGATGATATCAGCTCTGCCCATGCTTCTTCCTGTTTGCATTGGTGCATTACTTACCAGCTAGTCAGCTCATTCATAACCATTTACTCCTGTATGCCCAGGTGTGTAGATCCAGATGAATGAGTCTAGTGATCTACTAGTACTGATGACTCTGACACACTTCAATCATAGAGAAGGTTAATTTACTTCTTGTTATGTCTAGCAGAGGAGATGGATTTTGACCAAACCTTATTTGTTATTAGTCTCCACCTAGGGAATCAGAACTAGCTAACACTAGGAGGTGGATTATTGGGGAGAACATGGGTTATTAATTAGAACATGGAATATTGGGGAGAACATGGGTTATTAATTAGAACATGGAATATTGGGAAGAACATGGGTTATTAATTAGAACATGGAATATTGGGGAGAACATGGGTTATTAATTAGAACATGGAATATTGGGGAGAACATGGGTTATTAATTAGAACATGGAATATTGGGGAGAACATGGGTTATTAATTAGAACATGGAATATTGGGGAGAACATGGGTTATTAATTAGAACATGGAATACTGGGGAGAACATGGGTTATTAATTAGAACATGGAATATTGGGGAGAACATGGGTTATTAATTAGAACATGGAATATTGGGGAGAACATGGGTTATTAATTAGAACATGGAATATTGAGGAGAACATGGGTTATTAATTAGAACATGGAATATTGGGGAGAACATGGGTTATTAATTAGAACATGGAATAATGAGGAGAACATGGGTTATTAATTAGAACATGGAATATTGAGGAGAACATGGGTTATTAATTAGAACATGGAATATTGAGGAGAACATGGAGTAGTAGGGAGAACATAGATTATTAGGGAGAACATGGGTTATTAGGAAGGAAGAACATGGATTATTTGGAAACCATGGATTATTAGAACATAGATTCTTAGGGAGAACATGGATTCTTAGGGACTAAGATTAGGAGAACATGGATTATTGGGAGAACATGTATTATTTATTGGGGTAAACAAGAATTATTAAGTAGAACAGAGTCCTCTGCTTGTTGGTGAGATCATGACTTGAGACTACTGATGTATGCAATACGGACGAATGCATCATATACCTACCAACTATCTAGGGGATTATTTTAAAATATCAGTTCTTCGCATACAAGAGTTCCCACAGATGACAAAACGACTACTAGGTTCCCAGAGGAACAACAGGTGTCACACAATTAGCTCACATACATGTCACAAAGTTAACAACCACAATATATCTGGCAAAGGTCATATGACCTATCCTAGATAAATATAACTAGTGTCTGTGGTAAGAAGGTAACAAAAATATCGTATTGTCTTGGAACCAGAAATGCATAGCCAGTTTTTGTTTTTTTCAAGTTATTGAATGAGCGAGTGTGTAAAAAGCTGCTCTTCTTCTTGTGCTTATTTTTTCTGTGTTTGCCCTCTAAAGTGGGGTTTTATTTTGTGCTTTGGATTACAGATAGGCTGTGATATCTGTGCCTTTCAAGCCAGCACATCTGATTTCCACAAAACTATAATTTTTCGCTTCTTACAAAATGTTTGTCAGGGTAGTGAGTCTATTTTGTTTTTCCTCCAATCAAAAACTAGGTTCTGGAACCCATACAAAGGAATGTGAAGTTTAATATTTCTAGTTGTCAAATACACAAAATGACAAGCTTTTTACCGTGATAACAGTTCGACAGTAAGGATAAGCATTCCAGGCTTTCTCGTGGATTTCCAGAGATCCTTTGGGAGCTAATATTCTCACAAACCCGGGAACCTTGCTGAAATATACAATTTATTATCATCATCATCATGTGCCATGCTGACAAGCACAGGTGATCACAGTCAGTTTACACAATCACCAGAGTGTCAGGTGAGGTGTTGCTGGTGTTAGAGGTGTTGCTGGTGTTAGAGGTGTTGGTGGTGTTAGAGGTGTTGGAGGTTTTGCTGGTGTTAGAGGTGTTGCTGGTGTTAGAGGTGTTCCTGGTGTTAGAGGTGTTGCTGGTGTCAGAGGTGTTGCTGGTGTTAGAGGTGTTGCTGGTGTCAGAGGTGTTAGAGGTGCTGCTGATGTTAGAGGTGTTGATGGTGTTAGAGGTGTTGCTGGTGTTCCTGGTGTTAGAGGTGTTGGTGGTGTTAGAGGTGTTGCGAATGGTACTGCCTATTTTTTTTCTGTTTCTTTTTAGTGTTTATCAGGTGTTAACTCGCGGAAAGTTTTGGTTGTTCTTTCGTCTGGTTCCAGAACTTGAATTTTTTATGCATATCCATTTTACAGATCTGCTTTTTTGCATTCAGACTTTTTTCTATAATTCTCAGGCAGATGTCTGCTGACCTCAGAGGTTCAAATCCCTAATCAGTGGCCTCTGAGGACATGTCTGACAGGGAGGCTGTGAGTCTATTACACCCCCCCCCCCCCCCACTTTTCCAAAATGAGGTACTCCCTATAAAATGAGGAATAAGGCAACTCTAACCTTCAAACCCACCCACAATGGACAGCAGGTTACATCGTAATTATGTGCTAATTTGGTCTGATTTGATTCAAGAACCGACATCACAGCACTTAGGGCATTCCCATAAGTGCTCCGTCCCTATCTTCAGAAGCCAGTAAAGAGTTCTGATACTAATGGAGCCAGTAGCATTCTGATTAAATGTCCATCTTGCCTTTCCTCTGAGCCGCGAGCATCTGCCAGAACCTTTCGTCACCCCCAACTGCATCAATCTCACCACACTGTGGTGATCAATCTGCTCCTCCGAACTGTTCAAGCTCTCCCACAAGGCACTATTCACGTCTGCCTTATCATGCATCAGTATTCCACCAAGCTGTGCAGAGCCAGCCAGTCTGTCCGCCTATTAATTTCCCAATACACCAGCATGCCCAGGTGTAAAATCCAGACAATACTCCTCACCCGTGTGTTCCGCAGCGAGGCATGCCACTCTGCAGGAAGCATGCCTGTCCATTCTTAAGCTGGATGTTGTGGTATCATATGCTAGGCTCTCCAACAAACGTCGACATTAACTTTTGCTAAGAAACCCCAAGCACTTCTTTTGCCTCTTGACACTGAACCGCCTGTGTAAATGATCAAATCTTCTGAGCGAGCATTATCTTGAATTAATTGCTGACTTTACACCTCTGTGGCACCTGCTGGCCAGTCTCTGCATTCCTGGCTCAGTGTGATTATGACCCTACACAAGTTTGACTGTTCAGGTGGCACTTTGACCCTCTCCTCTCCTCGCCTAATGTTCTCAAGGATGCAAACCTGTCTGATTGTGTCTTCTGCCTGAGCCATCCATGACTTACCCTAAGATATGACTTCACCTGCAGCACCTTGTGCCTACCTGCAACAGTCGGTAAACCAAGGATGTATCGCATACACACCACTGGGGTGTCTCTGGTGCAACCCAGAATGACCTGTATTGTTGCGTTCTGTATGAGCTCTAGTTTGTCCATCTGGCTCTTTGAAATGGTAAGCATTCCCAGGCCATAATCAACCACTGACAGAATCAGGTGCTGATATAGTGTGGAAAGCATTATGTGCTCTATGTCAATTGCGGCCATAGTCTTAAGTGCACCAAGTCCTTTTTGGCATCTTGTCACAACACTCTCTGCATGGTCCTTGAAGGACAGGCTCCTGTCAAATGTAATTCCCAGATACTTCAGTTTGCTCTCTTTGTTGATGTTTCTACTATCTATCGTGCGACTTGGGACATTAGCATTAACGATTTTGTTGTCCAGAGAACACCACAAAACAGACCCCTTTTCCGGGTGGACGACAGCCCTCATTTCTGTACACCACTCAGTCACTTTGTCTACTGTCGCTTGCAGCTCTCGGGCTGTTTGTTCCCTCTTCCCCCTGCCTATATGCAAGTATATAATCCGCAAAAGTCAGCATCCTTCCAACTCCTAGTGCTTCTAGGGTTGCAACCTTGCTCGTATACACGTTAAAAGAGCACAGGCGAGATAGCGGATCCCTGTGGCAGTCCTAGGGCCAAAGGGTATGGTTCTGAGATCCATGAGCCAAGTCGAAGAGCAACCCAACGTGAATACAGGACAGCTGCAATCCAATTCACCATCCATGGACTGACCTCGTTCTCCTTCAGTGCAGTCATCAAGATGTCATATCCTTCTCTGTTATAAGCATCCTCGAGATCCAGTCCTACCGCCATAGTTTCCTGTCTGTTCTGGAACCCTTCATAGACGTCAAAAGCAAAAGTGGCCGCATTTGCCCACGTGTCCTTTCCTGGCCTGTAGCTTCCCAGACCTCTTGGGAGAAGCTTTCCCCTTTCCAAAAATTCTTGCAGCTTTACAGCAACTATCTTCTCCAAGACCTTCCCAAATGTGTTTTGTAAGGTGATGATTCTAAAGCCACTGAGTTTAGAATGATCTTTAAAAGGTTTTGGTAGTGGGATTAGATAGCTGTGCACCCAGTCCTGCGGTACTTTTGCTGTCTTAATAACTATCGGCTGCCCTGATATAACTGTACCATACAGCTGAATGGGATTTCTGGGAACTGCTCCTTCTGAATTCATTATTAAACAGTTTCTGAGTCATGTCTATATGAGTCATGTCTATATGAGTCATGTCTATATGAGTCATGTCTATATGAGTCATGTCTATATGAGTCATGTCTATATGAGTCATGTCTATATGAGTCATCTGGTGTCAATCTTTCAAAATGCAATCACAGAGGGGGCAAATTATTTTTTTTTAAACCTCTAAGTAACTAACTAACTATCCTTAAGGGCAAGCTTGGTCAGACTGAGTACCTGTGTAACAAAACCAGTGTAGCATGAAAAATGGCAAGAGTTGTGTGGCAACAGTTGTGTGGCAACAATTGTGTGGCAACAGTTGTGTGGCAACAGTTGTGTGGCAAAAGTTGTGTGGCAACAGTTGTCTGGCAACAGTTGTGTGGCAAGAATTGGTGGATTCAACCCAAGAGTAGCCAACACAAAGTTGCAGTTTTTGGTCTCTGGTTTTCTATGGTAGGTAGTGCTACGGTCAACAACCACAATGGTCACTTTCAAGAAGGAAAGTCATGCCAAACCAACTTCTTCAAAGATGCCTAAAATATTATGATTCAACATAACAAGCTCTTCTTTCTTCTTCTTCATGTTCCCTGGCTGTAAACTCTAGTGGAAAGTCCTGGCTGTAAACTCTGGTGGAAAGTCCTGGCTGTAAACTCTGGTGGAAAGTCCTGGCTGTAAACTCTGGTGGAAAGTCCTGGCTGCTCATCCACTTCTGGACATCAGTATTGTTCCAAAACTCCAGTTCTGTGTGCAGATCCATTTTACAGATATGGTTAATTTGTATGTAGAGTGTTGGTCCCTGATCTCGTAGGCAGATACACTCTGCTTTAAAGAAACAGCCTAATTAGTCAACTTTTACAGCATGTTTGTTAGGAGGTAGTGGGTCTGTGTTTCCCGCCCCGGAAAATGTACGGCAAAACAGAGCATTTAACTTCAGTCAATACAGAGTGTATTTACAACAACAACAAAATTACCACACTATTAACGATGAAGAACCATCCGTTGAGAAAATGACCATAATTGTTTTCTTCTTTTTCTCCACGTTCACAGGCTGTGAACTCTGGCAGAAACTTCTGGGTGTTCATTCAACTCTGCACTTCAGTCTTTTTCCAGAACTTGAGTGTTGCGTGCACATCCATTTCACAGTTTTGGTTTATCTTTTTAGCAGACTTTTGATTCCTTGCCTCTTAGGCAGATGTACTCTGACTTCAAAGACAGCCCTAAATTAGTTGACTCCTAGGACATGCTTGCTGGGGAGGCAGTGGGTCTATACTTGTTTTCTCCACATGGTGCCCAGAACCTACATGGTGAGTTTTATCATCTGATTATAAACTTGTTACTCACTGCATACACCAAGCAGCAAATACTACATAGATTTTACTGTTTGCTGTTTGCAAAAACAATGTATTATCTGTATACTTATACTGTTAGCCAATCTTTAAAGACAGACGTGTGTCTGTATGTGTGCTCAGGTGTCTTAAAAATATGTCTGCTCATATTCTGAGATTAACTGTAATACAGCATCACAGGTTCGACATAACATTTCAGTAGTCTCTCTCTCCGTCCAGGATTTTTAAAAAAGAAATAAAGTGCAAAAAAGGGAGGTAACTCACGAGGATAAGTGGTAAATCTTGTGTGTGTACTGTCCATGTGTGAAGTCGATGCCATTGGCTCGCAATTTGGGACTCGGTGCATTGTTTGTCTCATCAAAAGGTTCATTGACTTTCACCTCCACACCTTCCCCGCCCCCTGTTTCATTCTTGCTGGCCTGAGCAACCGACCACAGCTGTCCTATATGGTACTTGAAATACAAGGAAATGTGTTAGCAAACACAAATACACTTTTGATAAGGACCAATATATACCAGGAAATGTTAGTTCCCCATGTGGGTTCTGAGGTGAGAAAAAGAACAGACTCACTGTGCCTGTAACAAGCATGTTGCAAAAGTCTAAAGAAGGTGTGTTGCCTTCAAAGTCAGATTGCATCTGCCTGAGAGGAGAGGAACCAACAGTCTGCATACAGGTAAGCCTGATCTGTAAAATCAATGTGCAAACAAAACTCAAGTTCTGAAACAAGACTAAAGTCCAGAAGTGCATGAACAAGCAGTACTTTCTGCCGGAGTTAACAGCCGGTGAACATGAACAAGAAGAAGAAGACATTGGTTAGTGCACACTGATACACTTGTGGTAAGGAAACATAAATCAGATAAAGCCTACCTTTTCATCCGTGTAAATATCTGCCAGCCTATTTATCTGTGTATCTACCCACCAATTGACCTGACAGACTGAATTTCTATTTATTTATCTATGTACCTACCAATTAACTGGTCTGAATGCTTGAATATTGATTCATCTGAAAATCTAACAGCCGTTATGTCTGTGTACCTACATGACCAATAAATCTCATCCATCTAAATATCTAACAGCCTATGTGTTCATGTACGTACATGACCAATCAATCTTATCCATCTAAATATCTAACAGCCTATGTGTTTATGTACGTACATGACCAATCAATCTCATCCATCTAAATATCTAACAGCCTATGTGTTTATGTACGTACATGACCAATCAATCTTATCCATCTAAATATCTAACAGCTTATGTCTGTTTACGTACATGACCAATCAGTTTATCAGACTCATTTTCTGTCTATCTTATCCATCTATCCCTAATTGGTAAATACATTATTACAAAAGAATGCCTAAATATACAAAACAGCAACAAACTAGCATACAGGAAGTTAGCCCCCTTTGGTTAGTTTTCTTAGGTTAAGCCAGTGTTTTGGGAAATGAACAGGCAAATATACTGGCTGGATTTTGCCCACTTGATGGTGAACTGATGTGTGACAAGCTAGATGTTGTAAGGGCCCTCTGGGAATGAGTGAACAGTGCGGAGGCACAATCACATCATTAAGGTTTCATATGCAATGGATACCATCCCAGTGTGAAGTTCCTGGAAATGAAAGAGCTGATAAACCAGCTAAAGAAGGTGCAAATGAACAACAATCTGACGTACCAGTTTCTTATCAACAAAAGAAGAGAATAATAATATCAATCAGAAAGCCACCAAAACTGGCAAAAGACGATTACTATTTTATGGAGAGACTAGAGCAAGTTATTATTCTACGCCTTAGAACAGGGCACAATCAACTTCGCAGCCACATGTACACAAAATTTCAAATCAGCGAATCAGCCATGGGCACATGTGGATTGGCACCTGAGACAACAGATCATGTCTTTCAAGACTGTCCCAAATACAACATATCAAGGCAAAACTTATGGCCAAGAGAAACATTGGTGCATGTCAAACTTTACAGGTGCCTGCATGAATGACAAAAGACAGTGAAGTTCATACTAGAGACAACATTGCCGATATAGGTAATCTATTTCAAGCAAACGAAAGAAGAAAAAAAAAAGAAGAAGAAGAATCAGGGTTTCAGGAGAATGGTGCAGCATGAAGAGGGATCTGGCCAACACTCGATAATCAAGGAAAAGGTGAGAAGGATGTACAATTAGACTGGTATAGGTGCCATCGGAATAGGGGAAAAACATAACTCATGATGTCAACATTTTTTGTATTTTTTGGTCCGTAAATGTAATTGTTATTTTTTTATTTGTGTAATATGTCATTTTCTTTCCCAGGATTTTTGAAGGAATTCCCCCAAAAAATGAGTCACTAGCTTGTTTTCTTCTCGGTCATGGGATCAAGGGATTCAAGACAAACTGACAACGTTGAAGCTGTGGGGATCGACTTCGCCACCTGGGCTATCCCATATGGCTTGATATCTTTTCACAGACAAGTTACCTGCCTGGCCAGGGGGCTAGGGATCTCCAGAAACAGGTTAACTGCCTGGCCAGGGGGCTAGGGATCTCCAGAAACTGCACTCAGGAACGGAATCTGCTTCTTCTTCTTTGCATTCACTGGATGTAAACTCTGATGGAAAGTTCTGGTTTTTCATCTACTTGTGGACTTTAGCCCTGTTCCAGAACTTGAGTTTCGCATGTCCATCAATGTAACAGATCTGGCTTATTTGTATGCAGACTGTTGGTTCCTCGCCTCTCAGGCTAATGAACTCTGACTTCAAAGGAAACCAACCTAACGAGCCGACTTTTACAACATGCTTGTTAAAGGTACAGTCCCCCCCCCCCCTCCCCCCCATCCCTGGAAAGTGGGACCTGGAACAAACACAGGGAACTGAACTGAATGATGGGACCTGGAACAAACACAAGGAACTGAACTGAATGATGGGACCTGGAACAAACACAGGGAACTGAACTGAATGATGAGACCTGGAACAAACACAGGAAACTGAACTGAATGATGGGACCTGGAACAAACACAGGGAACTGAACTGAATGATGGGACCTGGAACAAACACAGGGAACTGAACTCAATGATGGGACCTGGAACAAACACAGGGAACTGAACTGAATGATGGGACCTGGAACAAACACAGGGAACTGAACTGAATGATGGGACCTGGAACAAACACAGGGAACTGAACTGAATGATGGGACCTGGAACAAACACAGGGAACTGAACTGAATGATGGGACGTGGAACAAACACAGGGAACTGAACTCAATGATGGGACCTGGAACAAACACAGGGAACTGAACTGAATGATGGGACCTGGAACAAACACAGGGAACTGAACTGAATGATGGGACCTGGAACAAACACAGGGAACTGAACTGAATGATGGGACCTGGAACAAACACAGGGAACTGAACTGAATGATGGGAACCATGAAGACAGCCCATGATGTTCACAGCACAAGACTACTGGCATGCATAACCACTTCACCAAGGAGACGCCCACAAACTGACAAGAAGCAAGAAAAACCACCTACCTCATCTACTGACATCGGCAGAACAACACGACTGGGGACAAGAACAACACATCAGAATCAATTTATTTTGACAAGAACATTGTCTTTGCACTTTATTTTTCTTCTTCTTCTTCTACTTTAGGCATCACAGCTTAATAGATCTTCAATGTACACACATAGGTGTGCTATCTCCAACTGAAGTTGAATTGAATAAAACTATTTCTCAAAAGATGCAAAATGGGCACGCACACCCGTCTCACATTCGGTCCTTCCAGATACCTTCACACAGAGGTTGTATTTTTATCTACAAAGCATGTTATTTTCATATAGCAAGTTACAGTATGAGGGCAGGACATAAAAATCCAAAAGCATGGACACAGATATAATTCTTGTGCTTTCTTTTTCTACCTTTCATCCCCCAATGGAGCATAGGCCCTCAATCAATTCCTGCTATGCCCTGTGCAGACTTGTTCTTCTTCTTCTTCTTCTTGTTCACCGGCTGTGAACTCCGGCGGTAAGTCACGGTTGTTCGTCCAAAATGGACTTTTGGCTTTTACCTTGACCTGAGTTTTGCGTGTACATCCGTTTTACTGGCTTATTTGTTTGCAGTACTCGTTCCCCGCCTCTCAGGCAGATGTACTCCGACTTTGGAGGAAGACGTCAAGCCTATTTCTAGGTTGACTGTGGCCATTGTTTTGTGTGGGTCGAGATGTTGCCTTATTTGTGTGGTGTCCTCTTTGACTTTTAACAAGTGTGGCCCCCGGCATGTCGTCCTTAAGGCAGCTCTATGTAGAGTTTTCAGCCCTCAAGGGAAGGCAGGGGCAGATCATGGGCATTCCCCGCCATCCAAGGAGGCTTCCATAAATGCAGAGCCGACACATGATGCTCTGGTTCTGGGCTCACCCAAGGAATCGTCACGTCCTGCCCATGACTGCTTAACCTCACAACCGTGTATTGAGCTTCCCGCGCTACAAGGCTGCGCTCTCCGGAGATCAGCGGGGAGCAGCCCGCAGGTCTAGGACGTTTGTGGCCACACAAATAGGTACATTCTTTTCATCTTACGTTAGACACCTTTAACGTTGTTTCAGCTGTGCCCTTAGCACGAGATGTACGTAGGTGGGATCTTGCTGCGAGAAGTCGCCCACAAGAGATGTTACTCGTCTTGGCTGCGGGTAAATCTCTCGATATGACTACTGGCAGGATCAACCAGATATCTGTCGGACAGAATTGGACGTTTTCACAAGCACACGCGGGCCGGGAGAACATCGTTCTCCCCGCAAAACCCGGTGATGCATGCGACACCACTTGGACGCCTGCCGACGAGCCGCGCCGGCAGGACTGACCGAAAAAAAGCTATGCCAGCTTACCGAATGCTGGCCCGCAACTCGTCGAGAGAGAGCGGGCCTTTAGCGAGACCTTCGTCGGAACCACCGTAACGGACACTTTCGTTCGTTCACACCGCGACCGTGGCAGCGAACTGCGGCACACACACAGAATATCGGCACCTTGTCCCTCTCTACATCCGAAGCCGGCTGGGAGGTGCCCGCTAACGGGATGCACCACGCGCAGCCAAAAGGGACAGCGAGCGCTGGAACCGGGACTGCTCTGTGACCGAAGGCAGCCCCCACCAGACTTGTTCATGGCTGACTGCTTTTGGCAGAATTGATTTTCTACAGGCAGAAGTGGCCAGTCTCACATAAACTCTCTGATGTCACTTCAAAGAAATGAATCCACTAAGCTGTTTTTAAGAGTCTTAGCAACCTCTCCTGTGTTACTAGACTTGATAGGAGTTGTCAGGAACTGAATCCTGTTGCTGTCAATGTCGAGGTCCAAGCGTTCATCAGAGACAATTCAGGTGAGGCGGATGTGCTGATCTACACAGACAGGTCCATTGTAGGAGGATACAAGAGTGTATAGGCAATCACAGCTGCCTCTGGAGGTAGAACAGTCCAGGAAGCTAGCAGTGCCTTCTCTATGACTACTAGCAGCATCGTGATGGAGGTGATGTGGTGACCCAAGATTTCATGTGGCTGGAATCCCAGTATATACTCGTGTGGCTGGAATCCCAGTATATACTCGTGTGGCTGGAATCCCAGTATATACTCATGTGGTTCTGCCTTAGGTGCAGATTAAATTGTTAATGCCTTTATAGAGAAAAATAATAATCGAGAGAATTCTGGGAGCAGGACGTCCACATTACTGCTAAGAATGCGAGTACTGGGAATAAAGACTGGTACAGCCAGGTATGAGAGACACATGGGGCGTAAGAGAAGTCTCGTTAATCAGCATAGGACTGGCATTATTAACTGCAGGAAGAGGAAAGAATTATGAGGAACAAATCAAATAAATGAACAAGTAAGAACGTTAAATATAATAATAAGAGTAATACTAAAATGGAAGTAATGATTCCAGTGCTATTTGAAATAACAGTAACATCTAAGGTAGTAATAAAAATAGTAGAAGAATAAAATTACTAACAATAAATAAATAACAGATAACATAAAACTAAAACAGAAGTCAGGCCAATAATATTGTTTAGGCGAAGGGTATGTGTCTAACAAATTAGTGTTAAATTCCAGTGGTACTATACTGTGTGTTGTCCATCAACACACAGGTGGTTCTATACTATGATTCCCTTATCAGTCCAGTTAACACAGCAAAGATTATGTGAATGTTAACAAAGTTTAACTATCAGGCCCAATGTATTGGCTCTGACAGGTAACTGGCATGGTAATGCTGGGTAAAGCACAGTAAAGTAACTCTGTCAGAGTAAGGTTGGGTGAGGCACAGTAAAGTAACTATCAGAGTAAGGCTGGGTGAGGCACAGTAAAGTAACTCTGTCAGAGTAAGGTTGGGTTAGGCACAGTAAAAGAAAATCACGGCGGCAACACGACCGCATCTCAGTCAGTCTCTGGTATGTACCACTCATTTATTACACAGTTTTAACACAGTAGCAGTTGTCTGGAATCAGTAGACTAGTACCTATACTCCTATAGTACTAATAATATAATAAACCATTCCACTCATACAACTGACACTCTATCTCTCGTTGTGCTATTCTTATTTTAACCAAGGACAGTAAAGTAAAGATTACGAAAGAGAAGCCGTTCTTACAATTCTTTGAGCGAATGGCTGAATTCTTTGATCGAATGGTTCTGCATTTTGCTTCCTTATCAACCGCGGCAATGTTCCCAGATCGGCAGACATGGAATGAAATTGTCGAAATGACGTCATTAAGTTGTGTGTATCTCTACACAACATTTCGCAATTATTCTGCATTTTGTTTTATACATTTTATTTACACTAGACTGTGAAGATCCTTTTCGTCTTCTTCTTCTTCTTCTTCTTCTTCTTCTTCTTCTTCTTCTTCTTCTTCTTCTTCTTCTTCTTCTTTTTCTTCTTCTTCTTCTTCTTCTTCTTCTTCTTCTTCTTCTTCTTCTTCTTCTTCTTCTTCTTCTTCTTCTTACTTTTGCTAATTTTTTTGCAGCCAGAAAGAGGTGTGAAGACATATGTGATGAGCAGTTGTGGTGATAGAACGCACCCCTGTCCCACTCCAGATCTAATTTAGAACCTTTCTGACATTCCTGTATTTGTTCTAACTGCGCAATGACTGTTCACATACAAACTCTTGCACAGTTTAATAAGATGTTCATTTACTCCGTAATCCTGTAGTACTTTCCATAATTTATTCCTATTAACTTGATCGAAAGCTTTCTCTTAATCGACGAATGCGAGATTTAATTCTTTAACGAATTCTACCGTCCTTTCCACTAATTGTCTCAGTGTGAATATTGCATCAGTACAACTTCTGTTCTTCCGAAATCCCTTATATCCAGTTTCGTCCTTTGTAGGATAAAATTTTTTGTTTTTTGAAGCCCCACCCTGGCTTTTGCCAGGGGCCGCAAAATAGGCAGGCCATAAATATGACAAATTGTCTGAACGCGGTTTCTGGGACCTCTCCACGGCGATCCTCATCCACATGGTGGCACTTTGTGTCATCGGGTGTTTATCGCTTGTGTGATGTCCTAGTGGGGTAGAGAGTCAGTCAGTCCGAAATCCCATTTCTCCTTCACTAAGTTGTGGTGGTTCAATGATAGGACGTAGCCTTTTTTCAAGGACCCTACCAAATATTTCACAGTGTGGCTCAATAACGAAACTCGTCAATACTTCTCACAGTCTCTCTTGCTTTCTTCTTCCATATGGGTACTATTATTGCGTTTCTGCAGTCCTCCCGTGTCTCTTGTGTTGTCCAGACTATGTTGAACAGTATGCGCATCCATTTCACGTCCAACTCTCCCGTTGCTTTGAGTAGTAGTTCAGCAGGTATATCGTCAAGGCCTGGTGCTTTGTCAGAAGGTGCCTCTTTTACAGCTTGTCTTATTTCTGCAAGTGTTATTCTTGGTTCTAATTGTTCGTCTATGTAGCTGTTGTTTTCTTGTGTTGTGGATTGCTCCTCTGATTGCGAGTTAAGTAGATCGTTGAAATGTTGACGCCATCTCTCTGAGACCTTTTGTGGTTTTTTAAGAGGACTCCGGTGTTGTCATTTATAATTTCTGTTGGGTCATATTTGTCGTTATTACCTCTCATAACTATCATTTGCTCATAAAAGTTTTTCGTCGTACATTTTTAGGTCATCGTTGAACATGTCGTTGTATTTCTGCCACAATGTTTGTTTGGCGTCTCTGACATCTCTGGCTTTCGTTCTTGCTGTTCTGTATTATTCAAGATCATCTTGATTGTAACTTCTCGCCCACGCCTGGTATCTACATTTCCTTTCCCTCACTTCTTCGTTCCACCAGGGTGTTATCAATGGTCGTGTACTTCTCTTCTTTACCATTCTGCATGTTTCTCTTGTTTCTAAAATTGATCTTTTAAACATTTCGCCGCGTTGAGCTACTTCGGACTCATGCTTGAGTTATAAGTAGAACGGAGCACTTATGGGTTATTACCCTTGTGCCTTGATGTTGATCCGTTGTTTGAACTTCAAGCTTCAAACCATTCCCCCTCTACTGATATTGTTCAGTTCGTAAGGATACAAATTGCATAAATGCCTTAAAGAAATGTATGTGTCTATGTATCAGCGTGTGTGTGTGTGTGTCGGCATGTGTGTCTGTGCGCATGTCTGTAATTTCGTATGAAAGCATAACTTCAGAGGTCCCGGGTAGTTAGCGTCCTTTGGATATTTACTCTAGGTATGCTGATGTGTTGGGAAATGAGCAGGCAGATAGACTGGTCGACTCTGCAAGTCCTGGTGGTGAATTGATGTATCTTGTTCTTCTTCACTTCCTCTTTTACCGCTGTGGGTGTCGAGGGAGATATAAGGTTCTGTTTCTAGCTCTTCTGGCTGCCTCGACCATAGGCACATCGTGCTGTTGTAGAGTTTCTCTGATGTTATCCTTCCATCTTGTTCTTGGTCTACCCCGTATTGATGTATGACAAGCTAGATATTGTGAGTGAACAGTATGGAGGCACATATAGATCATTATGGTCTGGGGAGAATGGCGCAATGTGGAGTTACTCAAGGAAAAGGGCGAGACAGATATACAGTCAGACGCTTGCTGCTGAAAATGGAGATGAAGCACTTATGGGAGTGTCCCGAGTGCTGTGATGTCGATTCGTTATTCAACATTCAACATTTGGTCTATGGTATTTTGAGAATCTTTCTATAGTATTTCAGCTCAAAAGACCCTATTTTACTTCTTAAGGACGTATGTTGCTACACGCAAGATAGTCCACAAACTCACATCTGTATTTTAACTTAGATTTCTTTGCTGGTGCTTATCCACAGAGTTTAATGTTATTTAATCTTTGTATTGCTGCAGCCATCCTCCTTTTGACTTTTGTTGAACATTCTCCATTGCTGTTTATTTTGCAGCCTAGATATTCAAAGTTCATGATACTTTCAATGTCTTCATCCTTTGTTATTTTTGGGCGACAGGTATTTTTGTCTGTGGATATTCTTTTTTTTTTTTTTTGTCTTCTTTAAATTCAAGATCAAGTTGTGATCTTCACTGTGTTGACAAGCAAGATTAAATATTATATACCCTGTACACTGTTTGTAAGGAGAACTGTGTCATTTGCACACAGAAGCTCCAGAACAGGGTAGCCTTCAAACTGTGAGCAGATCATAACTGTCAAAAGTATGGTCATGTTTGACATATATCATTTTGTTTTCTGCATATATATTGAATGTTGTACTATAGAGAAAGAACAAAATGTCTGTTTATGTTTTCTTTAAATCGAGTATTTTATTTGGCATAAACCAATTTGCCCAATAAAAGACTGGCCACATAAGATCAGATATAACACACACAATAATGCAATGTTTAAACGTTCATCTGCATATTTCACAAACATGTACAGGTGTTTGGTTTGATTTGATTTGATTCAAGAACCGACATCACAACACTCGGGGCACTCCCATAAGCGCTCCGTCCCCATCTTCATGTACAGGTGTGATATTAGTTACCTCTAAAAATAATCAACAAAATCCCTAATAAAAATATGTTGAACAATTTTTATAATTATTTTGAACAAGGTTGCTGCCCAACTACGTACTGTACTCCAGGGGGTGCCATCCCACTGTGGTATACCAGGAAATGAAACGGATCATACAATTGTTGAGAAAGGGGTACAATGTGAACACAAAGATAATGCAGAAACATACTATGAGAAGAGAAGAGCCATCCAGTCTATCAGAAGTTACAGAATCTACCATTTATTTGACCAGCATGGGCAGGTCATTATCCTACATATCAGGACAGGATATAACCAACTTAAAAAGTATATGCACAAGCTTTGTCTAAGTAGTTCACCACTATGCCTGTGTGGGCAGACTACAGAACACGTCCTGCAAGAATGTCCCTTGTACAGCCTATTAAAAAAGGAATACTGGCTCAGTGAGTCAACAATGTACTTAGAGTTGCATGGAGCTAAATAGGAACTCATAAAAACAGTTGTTTATCACAAGAACTTGCCTGTCTGTGTAAATCAAAAAGCGAACAGTTGGCCACAAATGAGTTTTGACTCTGAAAAACATGGTTCTTGTCTCTCAAAAGTTTTAATCGTCCTGCTGCTGATTGTTTGGCTCTTTTGACTAATGAGTTTTGTCAACCAATGGCCTATACCATACCCTGAAAATAATGATTTAGAATAACAGGTCCGCAGTAACAAGGTCAAGATTTTAATACAAACATAATAAAGCCTCCAAAAATATCAGTACACACATTTTAAAATGCATTATCTGATATACTACTAGACACTATATCTTTGTGTGTGTGTGTATGTATATTTATATATATCCCAGTGGCTGAACAGAATATCTCTTTCCAAAAAACAAGATGGCAATGGGTGTTAGGACAATGAAGGATAAATTGATAGAGAGGCCTAAAGACAATCAAGGAATAATCTAAAACACAGGAACGTAACACATTCACTCCCACCAGGTGCACACACCCACACATTCACTCACACAAGGTGCACATGCCCACACATTCACTCCCACAAGGTGCACACACCCACACATTCACTCACACAAGGTGCACATGCTCAGACATTCACTCCCACCAGGTGCACACACCCACACATTCACTCACACAAGGTGCACATGCTCAGACATTCACTCCCACCAGGTGCACACACCCACACATTCACTCACACAAGGTGCACATGCCCACACATTCACTCCCACAAGGTGCACACACCCACACATTCACTCACACAAGGTGCACATGCTCAGACATTCACTCCCACCAGGTGCACACACCCACACATTCACTCACACAAGGTGCACATGCTCAGACATTCACTCCCACCAGGTGCACAACCCACACATTCACTCACAAAAGGTGCACATGCCCACACATTCACTCACACAAGGTGCACATGCCCACACATTCACTCACACAAGGTGCACATGCCCACACATTCACTTACACAAGGTGCACATGCCCACACATTCACTCACACAAGGTGCACACACCCACACATTCACTCACACAAGGTGCACATGCCCACACATTCACTTACACAAGGTGCACATGCCCACACATTCACTCACACAAGGTGCACATGCCCACACATTCACTTACACAAGGTGCACATGCCCACACATTCACTCACACAAGGTGCACATGCCTACACATTCACTCACACAAGATGC